AGGCGGGAGTAGTGATTTCCAGTCAGAGCATCAGTCCCTGAGACGGCGGATCACGCACCTCGTGCAGCGATGTCACATGTGCGAGTTTAAGTTAGGCCCCGGGGGGGACGATGGCTTTTTTAAAACGTGTATTTCTGCTGAGTCACCAATCTGGGGGGTGGATTTCTTCCAGGAAAAACTTCAGATAAAAGCCGTTTCCGCCAAACGCATGCCAACGGCGAGGCTCCAGGGACGATCGGCCTGGACACCATCGCAGGGGTTGAGCGTTATATGAACCAGGAGGTCAGGGTTCGATTCCCGGTCAGGGCACCTGCCGGTGTTGCTCAGTGGGCCGCGATCCTCGGCCAAATACTCCGCTTGGCTGAGGCGGAGAGGATTGTGCAGGACAAGCTCCCGGAGGCGAACCCTTCGCCTTCACAAGCGGAATCTGATCGTGTGGGGCACGGCCCTGGGTGACAGGGTGGGGAGCGCTGTCCGTGCTCCGGGCCGGGCCCTCGTCTCATTCAACGGTCCCCGGAAGCGACTGGCCCCCGGAACCGCGGGTCATAAATTGCGCTTTGCAGGAGGCTCAATTACCGCCCCCGTCTCCTCCAAGCGGCCGGCGGAGCTGAAATGCAATATTTCATTTCTGACACTCAATCGATGCGGGTGGCCGTGGAGATCTATTATGCCTTTACAGTAATTTATGGACGTCCTCGGGTTGCGCGGAGCCGACGGGCTGTCGGAACGCGTTGGGTTCTATCAATAGGTTCCCGGGGCCAGTCGGAGTGAGGGGTTAGGGGGAGTCCCTACAGGCACCGAGGAAAGGCAGGCGCTTCATTCCAACCGTTAAGGAAACTCCACCCCCGCCCAGCCGGTGTGGCTCAGTGGTGAGCGTCGACCTATGAACCAGGAGGTCAGGGTTCAACTCCGGGTCAGGGCCCATGCCCGGGGTGCGGGCTCGATCCCCAGTGTGGGGCGTGCACGAGGCAGCCGATCCATCATCCTCTCTCATCACTCATGCTTCTGTCCCTCTCTCCCTCTCCCTTCCTCTCTGAAATCAATGAAAATGTATTTTAAATAAATAAAAGGACCCTCTCTGATCGCAGCCGCCCTGGAGTCCCGCCCTCAGTGCCTGGACCAGGGGCTCCTCCTGGAAGCGGTCTCCTGCCCTAGCTCCCTCAGCACCGTGGGCGTCTGGGCGCACCCTCCGCCCGCCCTGCCCACCGCCCTGCGTGGGTTCTGCCTCACTGCCACAGCCTATAACAGTGATGGTGAACCTATGACACACGCATGTCAGAGGTGACACACGAACTCATTT